CATCATTAGCCTACCTAGCCTAAAGAGTCACCATTATTTGACTCTTTTCAATATATTTTCCACACACTTAGCCCTTGCGGCCTAACCTTAGTATCACTATCACACACATCACAGATACATGACCAAATATACTTCCCTTAGGAACCCTTTGTCATGAGATCTTAACACGACGTTGAAACATGCCTTGTCATGTCAAAATCACTCATCAACCATCATTGCATCACGAAGTATGAAGTGCTTAGCCTCCATGCCTAAAGTACCTAGATACTTTCATTATTGAGTCAACTAGGATAGTCTAAGATGTTACAATCCTTGTACTGTGAGAGACGACGTTAACGAATTAAGCTCATTTAACATGAACCTTCAAAAACTTAGCTTCTTTCTTTTTTCGCGTCTTTCTTTTTCGGGAGAAAGTCGGTACCCTCCACAAAAATGACGGAATATTTTTGCTTTTCTGCATTTCGAGTCATGTACATATCGAGTGTCATGAGTCAACACTACGCACACACGAGTCACATCGACTCGAGTTAACCTCGAGTCAGTCAATCATAGTGAGTCAAGTTTATACCTTAAGTCATGTCAATTCAATGAGTCAAGCAACACTAAGTCATTAGGTCAACCCTAAAGAAAGATAAGCAAAGTCCTATAGTAAAAGATGTAAATGCAGGTGCATCCAAGCAAGCGAGGACATTCCCGGATATTTTTCGAAAAAAAGCCGCGAATATGACACGGGACAAGGTAAGAGGAGTTACATAGATCAGTAAATTAGAGATGAAGAGCTTTAATTTACAAAAGATTTGAGTGGATTTGGTTAAAAGGAAACGATCAAGCTCAAAGTTCGGAGCAAAACCAAGCAACAACGGCAGCAAGAGAAGAATAGGGAAGACTCGACGCAGCGCCAGACGACAAGGCTATTGCCTAGCTACAACATCTGTCGTCTGGCCACAAAGTTCAGCGCCTGGCGCTAGATCCTAGCTTTTGGCGACAGAGCCAATTCTTGGTGCCAGCGATATTTCAGCAGCGACATAGCTCGAAGCCTCTCAGAATGGTTATTTCGACCTCATATAGCAATTTCGGGTTCCTTGATACGCTAGTTAGCCCCTATAAGCAAATTGACATGGATTAGTAGTCGGCTCGGTTACAATCGTAGTAAGTGATTGACCTGACAAAAAATCGTCTCACTTAGCCTAAGCGCCTAAAACACTGGCTCATTACAAGCACCAATGTATCAGTTTAAAAACAAGCACTTAAAAAGACAATATTTCCAAATATGGGTTGTCGCGCATTCTTCTTGAACGACAATTTTTCCAAAATTGGATTGTCATCTCCAACTGACAATATTTCCAAAATATGGATTGTCGCGCATCTTCTTCAAACGACAATTTTTCCAAAAATTGGATTGTCATCCTCAACGAGAATTTTTCCAAGATTGGATTGTCATCTCTGGCTAAGTTTCCAAGCGTGGATTGTCGTGCTCCTTCTCTGTTTGACAATTTATTCTAAAGTTCGGATTTTCATCGCTGGTAAGTTTTCCGAGATAGGATTGTCATACACCCAGTTCCCTATGGCAATTTTCCCAAAGGATTGTTTTAGGACTCTATTCATCATAAATTTCGGCAAAGGTTCCTCAACGTGGATTGTCATTCATTTCAGCAAGTGGCAAATTTTCCCGAAGTGGATTGTCGATCGACTCTTTTTTTGGCAAATGTTCCAAGACGCGGATTGTCAATTGTGGCAATATTTTCATAAAAGGATTATCGCATAGCGTTGGAAAATTTCCAAGGTGGAATGCTTTCAAGAGTTATATTCAAAGATGTGGATTGTCGATCGTACCAAAGTTCTTATGACAGATTGTTACGACGCATTGGCAACTTTTCCCAAAAAATTGGATTTTGGCAAATTTTCCAAGATACGAATTGTCGCTTGATCGTAGCAACATTTCCAAGGATGGATTGTTACAAAGCATTGACAACTTTCCCTAAATCGGATTGTCATGCATCATACAAGAGTTGTGTTGGCAACTATTCCCAAAGAAAAGAGGATTGTCATCACAGCAAAAGCACCTACGGTTCACAAGCAGCAAAGCGCCGATGTACTGGCATAGCAGCATTAAGGATCAACAAGAAGTGATCTTTTCGAAGACTAGGCAGTTACAGGTGTAGCTGTCTTTCGGCGGTATTCTCTAGCTTGCGGAAGATCGTCACAACCAATCGGTTACCTCCAGAGACGTGTGCTCGACGGTGCAAGATACGCATTTCTTAACTCTTTTATCTGTTTAACTAACGCTAGTTTGCAGGTATCGGTGTTACCAAGTTGGTTTAGGATCGCAGAATGTTCTGAATCATTCTCCGTCCCTATCGATACTTTGACTAACGTTTTTGAAACTTGTGTTTCTCCAAACTCAGTCAAAGTGGGGGCTTCTGTAGACACCCATTTGTAACTCCCCAAAATCAAACCTAGTTATGAATACCTTTCATGTCATTTAATTATCGAACGAAGAAAAAGTGTGAAAAGTCTAGTGATGAGGATGTTTTTATTAAAATATCTTTCCTTTCTGTTTTTGAAAATATTTCATTTCTTACCCTATTTTTGAAAAACGTGCATTCTAGTTTAGTTTTTTCTATGATAAGGGTCCAATAATATTGTATTTGTATAGGGCTTGAAAAGACCTTTCCAATGATATATTATAATCCCAATTCCGATGAATAATGAGGAAGTTATAGCTAAAATACTAAACTAGACCCAAACCGGATTTTACCTACGACCCAATGATCATGTGGAGGGTCCAAAAGTCTAATCCTATTCCTAAACTAATTAGGATTAATTAGAAGCTTCTATAAGTTTCTAAAATATCTTAATTATCCTTTTTGAAAAGATAAGATTAAAGAATTTGAGTTAAATAAAAACTTTCCTTTTTCTTAAATCCTAATTTTATTCGAATTTAAAGATGTTCAAAGACAGTTAGATATTATTTTCGTTCCTCATAATCTTTATCAAAATATTATATGGTTGTATAGATCTAGAAATTATCTTTCCAATGATATATTATAATATTAATTCCGAGCTATAACGAAAAAGATATGAATGAGATACAAAACTCTATCCAAAACTGACACCGTTCTACTATTTCAGCCATATCTTTTTATCTCTGATTCTAATTGGGTTGAAAATTAGACTTCAAGAGCTTTCCAACGACATATTATATGCCTTATTTGGACTTCTAGATCAAAAGATATGATAAAAACAAAATCCGCAAAATCTGCTGTCCATCGAGTTTTATTTCGATTCGAATTCGGATTCTTTTCTTATTATTCGACCCTCTTTTTTCTCTATAAATAGAGGTCATATCTCCCCTTTTTCAATCACCAACTCTTATCAAGAATTTCTTGATTCTCTCTCCCTCTTTCTAGCCTAGCCTTTTACAAACAAAATTCCTCATACATTAGCACTAGACACACCTAGCCAAGTTCGAAGTTGTCTTCGCCCTAGACGTGAAAGATTTTAATTTCTGAGGGTTTGGTCCCAAATCTCTTTTTTAATTATTTAATTTAATTGTTTATTTCATATTTTCCTTGAAGTTAATGACGTGTGTATTTTGTTATTAGAAAGAGATACGAGGCATCCAAGTAAGTGCTTTTAATTGATTTATTGATATTATGATATAGAAATCATGTCTAGGTTGTTATTATGATTCCTAGTATCATGCTAGGGTGTTTTGATCTTCCTAGTATCATGTGTAGGGTAATAAATATAATTTCTATTATCAAATATGACAATTGTGTTTTCTGCGATGCCTTTTATTTTCTCTTCCTAATCTCATGTTAATATCATGTTAGGGATATATATTTTATCTTTAATGTTTAGTGACATGCTAGGGTTTGTTATTAATCTTGTTAGTATCATGCCTAGGATCTTGCTATTATTATGCTTTAACATTATTATGATTATTTTTATGATTTATGATTATAATTGTTATAATTATTATTATTATGATTATAATTGTTATGATGATTATTATTATGTTGCTTCATATATATTTATTGTTATTGCTTGATCTCGCCTTTTATGCATGCTTAAAGGAAATTTGTACTTGTAATCACGCTTAATAAGATAATTAATAATCTTGTTTAAGGTTAATTTGATTATATTTCAAGTGATCGCCAATAATAGTTTTTTTTTTGTGCATTAATATTCAACCAACATAGAGAAACGGGTTTAGGGTTAAACCTAATGATTGCATGTTAGTCAGAAAGCGCACATGAATACGATCAGAATAAAGTAGAAGCCTATTATTAGGGTAGGTTTAATCTCTTTTAGGTTGGATTTGTACCTTCATCCCCGCCTATTGGAGTTGACGATCTCTTGGATCGTTAAGGGGTGTAACCTTCACCTCGTGAACGGTTTACAAGTTCCTAAAACTTGTTGGCGACTCTTTTGCTCTATCTTCTTTCCCTTTGGACGCCACCGTACTTAAGTGTATGATTATAGCTAGTGGGGTTCGAGCTAGGATAAAGCTTGAAATATTCCCTACAATACCCTAGCCTTTTCTACACAATTTCCGTGTTTTCTCAACGCTTCAAAGCGTCGGTAACGACACTTTGTAAAGTGTCGAAATTTCGCATGTCGGAAATTCCCGACACTTCGTTGTGTCAATAATATCGATGTTTTAAAGCATCTATACTTCACATTCTGACACTTTAAAGTGTCATTATTTTTTAGAGGAATAAGTTTATTTTTTTCCCGCCTTACATTTTTGACATTCTAAAGTGTCGGAAATACCTGTTTCTTGAAAAAAGCGGGAAGTATTTAGACACTAAAAAGCGTCGAGATTAATTTTGGTGATTTTTTACAGGAATTAATGGACGCATCAAGGTGTCGAGATTTTCTCTATATTTTATCTATTTCAACTCTTTCAAGCGTCACCTTATATTAAATAATTTATAGGACCATATGTATCCTGCTAGTTGTCAAAAATAAATTCTATTTGCACTCACATAATATAATAAATAAGTAAAAGTTAAACAATAAGAAAAGTAGTACTACATATCTCATTCTATAAATAACAAAACCACAATCTCCGACAATCCATACATAAACTTAAAATTCGTTCATCATCAAAATAACATAATCATAATTTCCGATAATGCTAAAATTCTAAACAAGAAATTAAGTTCAATGTCGATCTCCATTTGTAACAATGGTCAACCAAAAGAAAACAGATTCCTATTCCATAATGTATGTTGTATTGTTTCCCATATTCAATGAGGTAAATATATGTGCTATTTTTCCATGCCCAATCAAGTAGAAAGATTCAAGTCATCTACATCCTCGTCTTCATCTTCATCATCACCTCCATTTGATTCTTCCATATTCTGTGGAAAAAAAGACATCAATTAATATGTTGTGCAATTTATTTGAGCCATATAATACAAAAACTAAAATGAGATTCCTATTCCATAACAAATAAACCTACGGTTTACTATTTTAAAGGTGCACTTTAATCCATGTACACCTTACCAGTTACCACTGTTTTTTTAGATACCAAGGAAATTAATTAATTAATTAATAATAACAGCAGTACAACCAAAAGAGCCAAAATCCCAGATTAGCTCCACTAATCTGCTAGCTCCAACATTAGTCCAAGAAAAAGCAAAATAGAGAACATTAGTTTTTAGGATAGTACTTAGGATACTACTACATAACATAGATAAATAAACTGGACAATCGAGAGAACAGCTTCCCAAAGGCTACTAGAACCAGTCAAAGGTTAAGCGGTATATATATAATTTATAAACAAAAAAATGTTACATATTTTTACAAAAAGGGATGCTGACCTGAGCATGTATGGAGCGTAATGCTGTCGAAGTAGCATCTAACATTTCATTAGAGACATTACCGCTTCGCACTGCATCCAACAAGTTAGTCATCTGTGTTGTCAGTCTCATTAAGAGGTATGTGGTATGCCTCTTATACCTTGCAAAATCAGCTTTCATAATTTGGTCATTGCTACTATTATAAGAAGTGCCCCTTTTTTCCGCAATAATGCATGAACTCCAAACCGTCATTATGATTTACCCCAAATCCATAACCGAATGGTCTTTGGTTTTTTTTATCCTTATCATACATCAAATCATTGAAGACTTCGTTCTCTATAACTTCTTGAGGCTTCGGAGTTGATGAATTTGAAGCACTTGAATCAATCCTTTTTTTGCCATGTCCTGCATGGAAGTATATAGTCACACACATGTAAAGTGTATAATTACAAGGTTGGCAAGTAATTAAAATAAAATATGAAATAAGTTAGGAAATAATACAATGAATTCTGCAGTATTTGTGTTGCTAGGATAGCATCCATTCTTTGGTTGATGAGTTTTATCAAAAAACTCATAAGCACCGGGCTCTCTTCCATGCTCAATCTCCTTCATTCAATTAATTTATTTTAAAATCACAAAAACAGATTAATATTTATGAATAAAGTGTCGGCAAATGCATCGGTCATACAAATTCGTCTCTTGAATTAGCAAAGCTCGTAGCACCATTAGTATGTAGATATCCCAAAGAAGCACGTGCTTCTATTCCGATTTCAGAATAATTCTAACATTATCATAACAAAAGTAAGTTCATGTCATTAAATCAACAACCAACCATTCAATTAAATTAACAAAATGAATTTAAATCGGAAAGCAAAAATGTAAAACAGAGATTGTAACAGAGTACCTTGCTCTTATTCGATAACCAATATTCGACCAACAGAAGCCAATTCTCACGAACAATTCCTCCTGGCCTATCTTTTTCAATTTGTGTTCTGGTTCGTATTGTGGGATTGAAATATTTAGCTTTGAGCTCAAACTTCCACTGCCTACGATGCTTACCCACGTGCTTAAGCATTGCATCATCATAGATTTTACCATCTGGAATGATGAATTTTTCCTACAAAAATTCATATATTTTTTGGATATAATAATATTATAAAATATATGTACACGTCAAGGAATAAACTGAATGAAAAATATAATTAAAACCACTTACACAAATCAAATTAACAATATCACCTAGCATTGTTTTATTCACATTTTGCCAATTTACATCTCTTATAGGACAAATATCATCTTTCTTTGCGATACTTGAAATGAATTTTACAAGAATTGATCCGCCCTTTCTAATTGGTTGGCAAAATCCGTTGAATGTAACTTCAAATCTGACTCCTTTTTCAAGAAACCACACATCATGTGGTTGTATAGAACCACTCCATAACTGGACTGGCGCCAACGTTCAACGGCTGGCGCTGGAACGTTTTTCGTGACGCCGATATTTCGTCGATCTTCTGTCGAATTTTTTATTAATTCTGGGATGCGAGATTTTTGAAAAATAAAGTGGCCGCACTCGTAAAGGGTTGCCCACGTATCCTTTCTTAAGGAATCAGGCCAAACGTAGCTCTCTTGAGTATCCAACTTAACCCCAAAACTTCAAAGAAAGACCTAGTCAAAGACCTAAAGGGAAATCCAAGCCCTGTCTCCGTAAATGGGTATCTGAAGAACAATATGAAACCCTTAGGACAGTTCTCCACCTTCTGGCCCTTTCCCGGAACATGAGTAAACACACTCGCAGGAAACCCCGCCATTTTTACAAAGTCATCCTTCAAAGCAAGCGTCATCAGTGATTCCGCCTTAGTCACCAATTTCATCTCTAAAACAACCGTTCCTCTTTTCTCAACAACTCGAAGTGAAAACCTAGACCTAACTTTAGGAATTCTACTTGACATTTGTCGAATTTAACTAAAGAAACAGAGAATCGAAGTAATTACCTGTCGATTGGATTTAACGAGAGTTTGAAACCAAGAATCACCACCGCTCACCGCCTCAGAATAGCCGGAAAATTCCTGTGCAAGAGAGAGAAGGAGCGCAGTAATTTTGGGGAAGCGGGAAAACATGTAGCAGTAATAAAAGGCAAGAAGTGACAGATAATTAGAGAAGTGGGAAGTTAAGGTAACTTCTCAAATTAGTGCACCGAGCAAAAGGACGATTTTGCCCCTGATTTAATTGTCTTTTGAATTTGTCAGTTTTGATTTTTAAATTTTTTGCTTTTCCTTTTTTTGAATTATTTTGATTCTATAGCTTTAATTGTTGAATATGTACATAGCTGCCCATATTAAACAATTAGGGGGAAATTGTTATGGCTAAATTTTAGTGAGTCAACGTCAACGCAAGTCAACCAAAGTCAACGACGAAGAGTAAGTGTAGGCGTTGTTCGAAGCGCGCCTACGTTAAGCATGTTGTGAATATGCTTGGCACTCATAGGAAGTGGGAATTGACATATATAAGAGTTAGGACATGATTAGGGACAAAGCAAAGTAAGGAGCCTCCAACAAGTTTGTAAGGAACTTGTAAATCGTTCACGGATCATAAAAGGCAACCACAATTAAGGGACAACAAAAGGCAACAACGATTGACCCATGAAGGTTACACCCCATTCATAATCCATGAGATTACTAACTCCATATGGTTCGGAACCATGAAAGGAGGATCGGGGATGATGATACGAAGTGAGTCATGGAGTCACATTCGCCCGTATTGGCCTCTACTCGATTCTTATTGCGAAAAGTATTTCTTGTGATCTCAAAGGCATGCAAACAAAGATTCAATTTTCTCCAAACTAAAATTAAGCTAAATTGGTTGAACATTAATGCAACATATAATTCTAAGATATTGTGATCACTTAATTAAACAACAAGATTAAAAGGAACCTAAACCGGTCGTCCAAATTATCTTATTAGTCGTGATATTCAATTACATATTCCCTTCAAACATGCAATATGGTAATCAACAATAAGCAATAGAATAAACATCAACATTGAAAGCAATTTGACAATAATAATGTTAGTCAAATCAAATTACAATAAACCAAATCATGATACTAGCAATATAAAATAAAATAAGAGTAATTAAGTGATTAATTCCTCACTTTCCGCGTTTCCTTGAATTTTTACATCATGAATAAATTGTTAGTAACTTCAATAAAAATATAAATCAAATTGAAACAATTAAATTAAATAAAAAGTAGAGTTGATTTGGTCCAAACCCTCAGTTAATTCACCCTCAGTTAATATAATTTTATATTAAGTGCTAAAGGGGTGAAGCACTAATATGGTTTCTCATTCGCCCAAGTATGGGTGGTTTAAGTATAGAACTTTGGGTCAAGTATGGACTCCTTGGAGTGCTTAGGCGAAGTATTATGAGAGAAGAGGGTAGGCTAGTGTTTAGGCTAAAGAGAGAGAAGAAAATGATTGTTGGTGCCCCGAAACTGAGGAAATCAACCTCGTATTTATAGAGGAAATGAGCAGGGTAATGCACAAAACCCTAGAAATGATAAGGCGCCGCGGAAAAACCCTAACTAAACGCCGCATCACGGCATGTATGTCTTGACACAGTGCAGGATGCCGTGACACGGTATACAATACCATCACGCGGTATGTCTGCCGTGACACAGTGTCCAATTCTGTGCTAAATCCGTCCAGATTCATTTTAACCCTAATTCTTAATCATTAAGTACGTGATTTTTAGGTGTCGTTTCAGGCTTATTTAGACTTATTATTTATTAACCAGGCTAAATTAATAATAACACGAAATGAATTAAAAAGGGTTTGGGCTGAAATGTGAGTTAGACTGAGTTTGAATAAATGCTTGTACTGATTTGTAGATTGAATATGTTTGACTGAACATGGGTTTTAAGCACTCCCGAGATTAAATACTCGACTCACCCAATAAAGGCGGTGAAAGGTTGTTCATCATCGGGTTTGGTGTTGGGGAGACATTTTAGGTGTCTACAGTAAGCATCAAAGACTAAAGCCCAGACTCGACAAACGAAACTTGAATAACAACCTCCCTATTTTCCAGGAGGTGATAAGCTTCAAGGACTCGGTCTTCTGCCAGCTAAGTCAAGTCGTTAGTGGGCTTAAGTTGAGGGTCAATAATCAAAGGGATAACTTCGAATATTAAGGGGAGCATTCTATCACTTTGCAACGGCTACAATAAACCCTAGATATCATCTATATAAGGAGAAGGCACCATCAACGTTAGATACACTACAACCTAGCTACTAAAATACATTGAGCATACATTGTAATCCTTTCGTTCGATATTTTACATAGTGAAAGTTTGGTAGATCCTCATTCTACTCGTGGTTTTTACCTTCTTTGGGTTTTCCACGTCACGAATTCCTCGTGTGTTATTTCTTTATTTTCTTATTGCTTTCGTTTAAGGTTTTATTTAGTTGATTCGTAACCTAGATTTTGCTATTCAATCCCACTTGACGAAATTTAGCATAAACATATCTGATTTTGCTAAATGCACACCCATTATGGCTTTATTATTGGCTCTCCAACATTTTTTAGAATAATTAAGGAACATTCAAAATCATTATTCGGATAAAAAAAAATCATATGACATCTATAACATGAATAAAAAAAAAATTAAACATACATGTACATACATGTCTAATTACTCCGTAGATCACAGTTCAAATATTGTTTGGTTTGATATAAAGATATAGTTTATATGAATGTGTTTCTTTGGGATAAAAGTTTAGAAAAGTTTGTTACAATCTTTTTGAGGTGGACAAAGGCAAGCCGTAGTTAAAAGTGAAACAAAGTTTAAAGCTCAAGAGTCAAGACGCTGAATTTGATTCATTATTAAATACTTTAGGTAACAATAGGTATTATGTTAAATTGAAGGGCACCAAAATGAAAAGGTTTCTTTTCAATGAACATATTCATTGGGATTCTGGATAACCCAATAAATTAGAGATGATTAAAGTTGGCCCGACCTAGAATTGGGTAGGTTTGGGCAGAATTTTATAACCCGTTATTTTTTATTTTACCACGGGCTTGGGAAAGCAATTTCCGGCCCAAAGCTTGGCTCGACTCGGATCAGCCTGAAAAATAGGCTTTTTTGTCCTTAGCCTGACTCGACCCGCACTTTGATCAGGGCTACCCTAAATATATACATTAAGCATTCATTATTCAACAAAACTATGTTAATTAAAAATTCTTATTAGATTAAATTTATTCAGCGAGCGAACTTAGGTTATACTTAGTATACCTTATTTAATTACTTGATTACTTATTATTTCAAATTAGATTAGATTCGAAAAAAATTAGATTTGAAATAATAAGTTCATATCATAGTTAATAATTTTATGTGCGATTTTTTTATCACTGAATGTCTTTAATTTTGCAATGAAAAATATCAATGAAAACTACATACATGACAATACACATATATACAAATCTAATAAAACTTCATTTGATAAATATTTTCGTTATGGATTAGCTTACGTATGAAGTCAAAACGTAGTTAAAACTAATAATTTGATCAGATTATAAAAAATAAATTCGAAGTATATCAATTTTAAAAAATAAATTCAGATCAAATTAGATAATAAAAAATAAGGTGAATTGAATATAGCTTTCTTCACACTTATGTATTACGTATATACTTTTTGTAATAATATAGTTATACCATGGCATATCTAATAGGGGCTTTTCTTAGAATCTTTTTCTTTTATTAAGTTGGGGGTGTAGTGTCAAAGGGTCAATTTAGGCTTTACTCGTAGCAAATAACAAATCTAGCTGAATATGAGTTGAGCACAACAGCAAATTGTTTCGTATCTTTCTTGGTCATCAAAAAATTGTTTCGTATCTTTCGTGTCTCTTGGTCGCCCACCCCACAACCCCCCTCCGGTTGTTATTTTAATGGTTGTTATTGGTAACTAGCTTATTTGAGCAAAATTAGTTTATTTGACCAATATTAGTTTATTGACTATTAGAGTATTAGATAAGCTAATTCAAGATATTTGGTGGGAAGCTTATTTAAAGTGCTTATTCCTCTTTTTCTAAAACCTCATTTTAGGAGCTTTTTCAATTAGTTTTTTCAATATCTTACGGTAAAATGACATTTATACACCCATCTAAATTAAAATCCAACCACAACTACCTACCCTCACAATTAACTTATTGGTCATTTCACATACTCAAACAACTTTAAGCAATCATCTATATTTACCAAATACTTTTATACAATTAGCTAATAAAATAAGTTAGTTAAATCAGTTAATGCAACCAGTTAGTCAAAATCTGTTAACACAATCAAGTTTAGCTTTCAGCTTTCAGCTTTTCACCAAACACGGCCAATAAATTTTGATGGTTCTATGCTGGGTAGATGGTGGTATGAGTATTCCACTTATTACAGAAGCTAAGGCCCTTTGTAATGGTTTTCTTCTCGTGCAGACACATAATACTTAAAAGGTGTTCATTAAAGGGAATCATTTACTTATTAATTTTTGCAGGGGAAGGCTCGCCTTAGTTGTTGATGGAATACGTCAAGAAGTT